AACACAAAAAGGTCAGTCTGCAAGAAAAGCATGTATTCCTACCCTGCAGAGATGAAAATACATTCTCCAGGATGTGCCATTGCCCGTCCTCTGGGGGAAATGGGGTGTACTGGGAGACATTCCGGGCAGTGCCAACCAAGAAGGCCTCCTCTATTCAGGTGCCTTTTATGGGGAAGAAAATATAACAGCGACTTCCATGAGTCTAGGGTACTTCCTGGACACCCCATCCAAGCTTTCTGCCCATCTGCATGCTTTTCCAAACGGCCTATTTTTGTTTTCTTGGTTCAGAAGACATTCAAAGATACCTACGGTGGAGATGGTCTGAACAGCTTCAGCAAATGCGCCACAGAACTGTTGACCACTCCTAACTGCTGTCACACAACATACATTTGGTCTCGCGTTTATGGGGTGTGCTAAGCCTCTGAAAACATGTCGTTGGTTAATACATAGTAATTAAGTCTTCCCACCTTATTCTGAGGGATGGTCAGGCTCTGGGAGCCCTTCCAGAGGGAGCCACACTGAAGGTCGCAAGTTGCGAGGTTCTTCCCGAGGCCCGACCCAGAGGCGCATAAGACAACCAGGCCCAGACCTCATGGTGGGTCCTCCCCCTCCGCTGTCCTTTGTGTCCTCAAGCTCTTTTCTCACCGTCCTGGGCCCGCCTCCACTCTCATTCTGCGCCCGCCCCCCAGCAAGGTGCTGACTGACCACAAGGATGAAACGGCTCGACCTTTTGGCCTTCAGCAGTGCTCTGCACGGGAAGGCACCTGGATCAGGCAGCTGGAGATCAGATTACAAAGTTTGGCAAAGTGAGTGTTCCTTGGGCCTTCACAGCGCTTTATTTTGAAAGCATTTTAACACTGTAGGCTGACAGTCTGGCTCCTGGCAGGACTTTCCTGCCTTAGGATCTTAAAGGCATATGGTAAAAGTGTGACAAACAAAATGACTGGACCTGCAGAGGGCCCTGGAAAGGAATTTCAGTCACAACTGTTGGTGCCCTTGACTGACGCTGGGTTTCATTACAAACAAGTGAAAAGCCCAGACCCAAAATCCACACTGCCTGGACCAGCAGTGACCTCTGTTTAGACTCAGGTCAAGGGCACTGGATTTTGGCCCAGGATGAAACAGGCATCCTGAACTTCACACCACTTCTAGAAAGTCCAAGAGACAAAATGGTGCTAAGCACCCAAAAGCTTTGAAAGGTTACATATTTAGGTAACAGGTTACTCCATCATTATGTTTTCTTTACATTCATATTAAAATTAGCTTTTCAAATACTAAAGTTGAGTCAAATTAGAATCAACATTTGCTGTTACATAATCCACAGAGTGGCTCAACCCACAAGGATAATCACAAGCTGTTCTGCCTGGATTCTAGTATCAGCTCCACGTAATAACTAGCTTGTGTTCGACAGGTCATTTAATCTCCCTGTTGCCTCAGCTTTCCCATCTGCCAAGTGGGGATAATAGTAAACACGTCCTTCACCAGGTTATCATGAGAGTAAAATGAGTTAATACATGTAAGGCACTTAGAATAACATCTGGTACTTGGTACTCATTTAAGTCACCTACAATTACTATTAGTAGTAGTAGTACTACCATGATGCTATCGAGTGAAAATATTTTGATCATTTTATCGTTTGTTTCACTCTTCTAAAATCCCTGCCAGCACTATGTGATCGTAGTGGAAAGGGTCTTTTCAAAGAATTCTTTCCAAGGCAGAAGGCAAAGCTTTGGACCTCTAACACAGACCCATTCCCAGGCTCATGGTGAACGTGGCCAGAGTCCAAGAGGTGGTTCTGCAGGAGTTCCAGGTCTCTCTGGCGCCGTAAGGCAAGTCCCCATACTGGCCAGAGGTGGAACTACCCACAGTCATCCCCAAACAGCGCCGGCCACAGCAGGAGCCCCTCAGTGAAGTCACAGCTCAAGAGCTGAGCAGCCTGGCCACTGCAGAGGCGTGGCTGCAAGGCTCTCCCCGGAGCAGGAGGCAGACAGTCAGAGGAGGCTGCATCCATCTGCCCAGAGGCTGCAGGCAGAGGGACCAGCGCAAGGGGCTCCGTGGCGCCATGCAAAGGAATGCATTTTCACACGACAGCCACGTCATCAGCCTCAGGACTACCAGCAAGGACACGCTTCTTGTTCCTTGGCAACTTGAGCATCTCAGAGCCACGATCCCTAAACCTGAATAAACCTCATTGGTAATTTCCTAGAGTTCTGATCAAACCTCACCCCTTTATCCGGCCACGCCAAGAGGCAGCCCCAAAACCCTCTATGAAAAGGCTAAGTCCCTTCCATTTTCCTTCCAACAAAGATAGAAAGTCTATACCTCCAGGAGCTCTCCCTGAAGTGGTGCACAACAGCTGTGGAACCCTACTCTCATCCTCGGCAAGAGTGCGCTCCCAGGGTCAGAAGCATGGCAGGGATGCCAGCCTCCACAACTTGGCTGTGGGGGGACCCGCTGCAGATATCGGGGTAGGGGGTAGAAAATGATCCAGCAACTCAGTGGACCCTGCATATGGAGCACAAAACAATCTAGGTTTGAAAATGCTGTTCTGGAAAAGCAACCAAGCACAAGGGCAAGTAAAAGGAGGAGGAAGAAGACAAGAAAGAACACACTGATTTATCTTAGGGAACACCTTCTCTATCTCTTCCCAGCCTAATGAACACCTCCATGAACCCCTGCAAAAGGTTCAGTTCATATAGCGCATATGTGTGTGAATGTATATGCTGACAGATACAGATCACGTGAGGGAAGAAAAATAACTCGAACTTCAGACTCTTCCAGCTGCGCCCGATTCTCTCACTAACAGCCTCCCTACCTATTCTGAGGTGCTCCAAAGCAAACCAAACAAAAACCAACGCATAGACAGAAGGAGAACAGCAGCTGAGCCGGGCAGCACCTGCTTGAAGCCTTCCTGCCATCGACTTCTGATTCTTTCTGCCTTCTCAAGACGCAGCCACCAGCCTTGGACTAAATACAGCCCTGGAGAGAAACGGCCTGTGCCGCGACTCTCGCAGACCCTCCCTGGGAGACACGCACCCCCCGCGTGAGCGGCTGAGCCTCGTGAAACGGACAGACCCTCAGGACAGGCTCTGCCCGCACGTGACCCTGAACACTGCGAAATTCCTCCCTTCTCTAACCGCGCGGCCACCCGAAGTCTTGCCTACACCTAGTACGTGCAGATGTCAGTTCTGTAAGAACGTATGCTGGAAGGGCAGAAACGGGGATGCCCGGAGCCCGATTTTCTCCTGCCGGTTTCTCTCGCCCACATGATGCGCCCATGCACACGGTGAGTAGACGCAAGCAGCCAGCAAGCAGGAATATCCACCATGCTTAGCCCACAGTCAGGCGTGGGGAGAAGTCGAGAGGGCGGCGGTGTCAGGGAAGTGGCAAATCGCCCGCCTGCGACTGTCCCCGAAAGCCCAGCGCCTCCCTCGCCCTGGAGCGGCGCCCACCCGGGCCGCGGGCTCTCCCACGCGGCTGGCAAGCGGGGGGCTCCGCAGAGCCGGTAACCGGACAATGAGGACACGGCGACCCGCCGGTTCCTGCCGCTGTGGCGGCGGCGGCAGTGGCAGCCGGAGCCACCTCTGCACCTGGGGCCGCTGCCACCCCCACCGTCTTTTCCCCCGGTTCCTACTTACGTTCCGAGGGTCTCTTTGAACTCGAAGATTTTCT